TTCCACTCACCAAACCATTAGTTGTGAGAAACAGACTGAATCGCAACGCTTGAAAGCTTCGGAGTGGAGAAGAACGCAAACGGAGAAACTAACAAAGAACCAAAACTTGGCTCGGAAGCAATCAAACATCCGACAAATATATGTAACAAACTTTTGTAGAAATAAAAAATCGGAGAAGCCTTTTTCTTGAGACCTTTTGGTACCCAATAAATATAAGAAATCAAGTTGAACTTTTTTAAAATATTATATATCAGGGAATCTATACACCTCTTTGTGATATAACTTAAAACCATAGCTTAGAATGTTGATTAAAGATATGTTATTATTTCAAATACATAAGATAATGTCTTTCAATAACTATAATAAATTACTTTAAAGAATGGTTGGGTACTGAATGAAAAGCTGGTAGCAAAAACAAAAGTCTTGCCCAAAGGTATGTGGATTTTCCTGCAGAGAACCATAAAACGAGTTCCTTGTTCCTGACTTAATGTAAGTTTCTATTATAAGCAGTTTTCTGAAACGACTTTTAACTTTGCACACATCAAAAGCAACAATAACAAATCTAAACCATTTAATTCAAAAATTCTAAAGTCAAATCTTTAAATTATGTAATAAAACTTATTAAATCTTTACTTTTTAAGCTTTAACTTGTATAGTTTTTCAATGTTCTGGATCTTATTCAAGTTTAAACTTCTCGCAAATTTTAAATTCTCATACAAAGGAGTCAAATTACTCAATCTTTTTCAACTATTCAGTATACCCTCCTCAGTGAATGCCGGGTATAGAAACCATATGCAGATACAAATCGCGCCTCACTTAAAAACACGAGAGCGAACCCCGAAGCGTCGAAGCCCCGAAAATTTGTGCTCAAGGTCAGGCCCGTTGAAATTTCGAAACTGGGCATTCAACTTGATAATTTATGAAACGCGTTTGGGTAAATGTACGTACATATACATACATACATACATACATATGTATATGCGAGTAACTACGAGTAGGGGAAGGGTATGATCACAGCTCATACCGCAGAGAAGACCAAACCCCGAACCAAACCAAACCAAAACGAACCGAAAAGCGAACAAAATGCGCAAGCGTGGCTCCCAGAGAACTCCACGATAAAGCTTGTTCCAAATATGGAGCAGGGAGATTTGTCTCTGTCTGTGTCTCTGGAGATTCAAGTTGCTGAGAAAGATACGATCCATTGATCTCTGCTTTATTCTCGACGCAGTTTGCCACACAGACCGTCATAAATTTGCTCTTGATGATTTGATTGCCGCCCCGTTTAGTTCGCTTTTTGTCGCATTTTCTGTATTCCTCGAATAAAAAAAAATAAACCACATTTGTACTGGCTTCATCCCCAAGTTCCGAAGGTTCTTTCAACCCAGTGACTCAGTTTTCACGATCGCAGTACAGGTAAAACGTGTTTCAGCTTTGGCTCTCTGTTCGGTTTCGGTTCTGTTTCGTTATTTTCTGTTATGCTTTTATTTTAATTGCCTTTTATTACCGCACGCATTCAGCCTTGGCAGTGAAACAAATGGAGTTTAATGCGGCGTGTAAATTCGGTTATCTAGAAATAGCAAACGAGACGCTCTTTTCTTTGTGTGTGTTGCGAACAGTAACAATAAACAATTTCTTCTAATGGATGATAAGAGAGAAAACTAACGAAAACCCACTGATAACTATGTACTTTATAACTGTGTATGCAGAGAGAAAAATGGGAACAAATATTAAAAAATTTATATATAAACTAAACAAGAAAACTATTTTTAGAAAGCCAAAATGTATATACCCTTGCAGTTTGCCATTTAAATATATAATCAGAAATCGATCATACCTAAGCTTAAAATATTTGCTTTCTTTGAATAAATATTTATGGTATTTATCAAAGTTTAAATATTCCCAACTATGCCAAAAATGCGTTCAATTTAAATCGGGCAACTTTCCTATGTTAGTTTTTATACGGTTAATAAATCTGCTTACTCACTGTCTAACTTAAAAAAATTTAAAATTTGTCCTACTTTGTTGCCAATTTGAACGATGGTAACCCCTTATAAAATTTTTAAAAAATTTTGTAAAATTTTTTTTTCGTCTGAGATAGCTAGATCGACTTGGCTGTTGATGCTGATCAAGAATATATAAGCTTTATAGGGTAGCAAATGATTCCTTCACTGTCTTTTAAGCTTCTGATAGTCTGTCAGGGTATACAAATTAGCACAAATATCATAACTTTAAAATTTTAGATTTAAAAAACATATAGTTCCCTTAGTAATAAATATGTTCCACTATTTTTGTTAACCAGAACTAGAGCTGTCATTTAAAGACTTGTAAATAATTTTTATAGTTTACACCAGCACTGATTCTTCTTGTTTCTTACTTCCTTCATTCAATTTATTATCACTAATAATTTAATTTACAATTTATTTATATGAGTTTTTTACTGAAAGAATCCCTGAAAATTTAACTTACAATCTTAGTAAGATTTTTTTTAAATTAAATTAAATTATTTAATTATTAAATTAAAATTAATTAAATTAAATTATTAAAACAACACAAAAGCTAAAATACTATATTAAAGGCAAATTTAAAATAGTAATGACAAACCCTTTCTAATGCCTTTTCTCTCGGTGCACCCAGCACACGCGACTTTTATCGGAGAAAAAAAATATACTGTAGGGGGTGGCAATGGCGGGCAGGCAGGGCCGCTGGGTGAGTGGGCGGTGTGTACAGGACTGACAACTGTTAATCAACAAATTGATGACTGAATGCAGCACATGCGGGTGCCACATTTCATTTACTTTCGATTTTGCACAAAACAAATGGACAGGGCAGGGCAGGGCAGGGCAGGGTATATGTGTGTGGGAGGGGAGGGAGGCGTGGCACTGCTGGCGACGACAACAATTGGAGACTTCCAGTAAATCCCGTACTCGCACATCCAAAGCCAGACGCTAATTTGATATTTTAATGGCTTTTTGTTTGCAAATTACGCTTGACTCGGCGTCGCGTCGCCCCTGCAAGCTCCCCTGGAGCCCCTCTGGGTATTGGAGACCCCTACTTTGCCCTCTTTAAATGACTCGTTTGTGTCTAAAATAACGGCGTTAGTTGTACGACACTGGATACTGGGAGATACTCTCTGTGTGTGTGTGTGTGTGTGTGTGTGTTATTTCATGGTGTTTTTTTATTTCGCATAAACTTTTTTATACTTTAAAACATGAACACAATTAATTACCTTGCGAGTGCAATTTGAGTTGTGCGTAGGCGGGAGTTAAATAAAAATAATCAGTAATGAAATGTTAGTCACTTTCTTATGTTTGTTTTAAAATAAGAACTGTTAAAAGCTGACTTAAACTTAAGAGAGAAATTCAAATATTATTTACTATAGTTTTTGAATAATTTGTTGTATAATTTTAACTTTTAAAACGAATGCAGACAACTTATTTTCAGAACTTTTTAATCGAGTTTATTGAAGAGATTTTAAAAATATTTTAATGATAAGTTCAAAAAAAAAATATTTTGTTCTACAGAAATAAAATCATAATAAGAACTTTTTAATATTTAGTTATATAAATTTGGGGTCTAGGAATTTGCTAAAATTTTATTTAATCAAATTAAATTTCCCTGAGGAAAATAACTATAGATACTGAATAAAAAAGCTTTAAAAGCTGACAGAAAAAATACATCTTAAAAAGCCAAAGCATAAACATACTCATTCATAAATCTTTCAATGTTTTCCCTGTGGAACTTATGTGTGTTGCACATAGAAACATAGACTCTCCCCAATGGTATTCATTAACACCCGTGAAACTGAAACTAAACAGAATAAATAGCTCCAGTGACCTCCCCCCCCAAGCTTGACCAAAAGCCAGCGAGAAACGGCAGCCACAGGCGAATATGTCAGTTCAAAAATGTCAACAAAATGAAAAACCTATACCCCAACACGGCAGTCAAAGTCAGGTGTATCACGTGTGTGTGTGTGTGGTCAAAACCACAAAAACCGCAGCGAGGCAAAGCAAAGCAAACCGCGTGGGAAGAGAAGGGAGAGCGGGGATCGCAGTAACCGAAAATTATGAAAATTACATTGAGCATGCCAAAAGTGAGTCAGCGAAATTATGCAAAAGAGAGCTACAGAGAGAGAGACAGACAGAAGACGGATAATCAAAGGTGGACAAATAAAAACGAAAACGAAACACGGCGCAAAAGGAAAAGGGCCCAAAGGGAGAGAACAAAAGGGGAATCGTATGAGACGCGATGAGATCGTCGTTGGTGGTGTTGGTGGAATTGCACAATAAGACAACAACAACAACAACAACAAAAAGCAGCAGCAGCAGCGAAAAGAAACCAAATAAACAATATTTTATCAGAGTGAAATTAAAAATCACTCAAGACTATTAAGGTACCCTCAAATCGAAGGTCAGCTCTTATATATTTGATCGAATTTTTTAATTGATAAATAATTATGGGATAAAGATAAAAAGTACACGGGCAAATTGCATTTATTGCTGGTATTTCTTCTTTTTTTTAATACTTTTTTATACCTTTTTTAAATAATATAAAATAAAATCTTATTTCTTTAAATAAATTTACAAGTCCCAGTATGATCCCAATTTACCTAACTTCTAACCCAAACTTAAATACCGAACTAATTGCAGGGCATTCAAATAAAATGAAGTAGCAAAAAAAAAAAGGTGAAGGAAACACAAAACGCAATCACGGACAATGAGTGCATGACAGAGACAGCGAAAGTAAAAGAGGAACAGAGGGGGGAAGGGGGTTATTTAGAGTGCGTGGGCAGCAGGTAAAAATTGAATATAAAAATAAAGGTAAAGAGAGCTGGGCATCCGGAATTTCGGAATCAGGCAGGCCAAGGTACCAAGCGGTAATGATAAAAATGTATTAATAAACAGAGGAGATCGTTGAAAGTAAAGATAAATATAACAATAATATGCAGGCGAGGGATAAATACATTAAAAAAAGGGTTACAAAAATTTAAAAATAACACTTACAAAGGATGAGCAAATGGCAGCAAACTTGCTCTCTTGATATTGTTAACGATTGTTTGCGGTTGTTATCCACTCCTTTTATTTTGGTATTGTAAAACCGTGGTTAAAATTATTCCTTTTTGTTAAAACTCCGTTTATGATCACTTTTTATGATTTTGGCACGTTTATATATAGAAGAGGGGTTTCGCACGGAAAAATATAGGATATATCATACGATCCAAATGAAATATAGGCACTGTAAACATTTAAAAATTATTTTCAAACTTAGCGACTTGGCGGTAAAACAAAATTACTCGAAAAACAAAATTAGTTTAATATATATGTATTTATAAATATTAAATTTTTGCAATTAAGTTAATATCTGATTTATATAATAATATAGTAAAAAAACGAATAATAAAAGAATAAAATAAACATGATTTAATTCAAAATTTCCTTAAAATGAAATATTTTCAGTAATAAGGCTTGAAAATTATAGCAAACAATGTCTTTTAGACTTTTGAAAGTACTTTGAAAAATTACTAGATTTACGAATTTATTGCAACACAAATGACAAATATTTTTTATTTTTGCCAATTTCACTTTTGCGAGTAAACACTGTAATTTCACTGGAATTTGGCAGAACTGCATCCACGGCCTTCCAGAGAATTCCAGTGCACGCACCCACGCGGGTTTCTGTTTTGTTTTCCTTTCCTATTCGCTGGAAACTGGACACTAAACACTGGACGAACCGGCGGCGGAATCGTTCCGGATTTTTCAGCTACTTATTTTCCGTCGTCAAGCGATCACCGTCGACAATTAAAAACACACAATAAGAACATAAACGAGGCGAGACGCGGCAGTGTATGCGCGAAAGGAATACATAGAAGGACACGGGGAAAAAAATAAAAATATAACGGAATGAGACTGAAACGGAGACAAAGTTGATTGACGTGTAACCAAATGCCGACTGGAAGGCGGAGCTAGAAAAATCGTAAAACGAACTTTTAAAATGACATTAAAATCAAACTATTATTTTGGCAATAATTGCCCACGTTTTCTTTGTGTCCGTTTTTGCGTGTGTGCTTCCACTTTATTATTATATCCACAAATTCGTCAACTGCGCGCTTTTTTTTCAATCCGCAGCTCCGCTTTGTTCTCGCACTTCCAACTGTTGGATTTTCTTTCTCGTTTGGTTGTTATTCGATTTTTGGCTATAGAACTCACGGATTTTTCACTATTTTCTGTGACTTTTGCTAGGCGCCACATGCGCATTAACGGCTGTCGGCGAATAAAGTATTAATTAATTTAAATCACTCGCGCTGCACGCTTTCTGTTTGTTCTCTTTTGGCAACAACAAAAACACAACCGATCGGCAAGCGCAGTTTGACAGACAGAAACACGTAAAATCCCAAAGATCGAGACACTAACGCCATAGAAAAATACTGATCGCGGCAAGGAAAATATACCGCAAATTCTGTTCACACAACTGTGAGCTGGCGACCTCTGCCGTCGATCGGCTAAAGGATGTTTTGTAGCAATGAGCTTGTGGCGGAGCTTAAAATACGTTATAATTTAAGTTAAAAGTTTTAAAACATAATGAATCTTGAGAAAATTCGATAAATAAATTAGATTTGAATAAAATAATGTAAAATACGAATTAAAATATAGAAAATATTAAATTCTATCTAGCCATAAACTGTTTACTTAACCATATATCATAGTTAGAAAAATTATCATAAACCTGCAACCAAATATTTAACAATCAAAAAGCAAACATTTTCCATTTAGATAAGAAATTCTATATAGTCTAGGTAAAATTTATAAGTACTATTTTTTAATATATTTTAATACTTATTTAATTATTATATTAGTTAAATTTTGACGAAATAACTAAATGGTTTCCTAAGCCTTGAACATCAAATTAAAAATCAATTTTAGCTCCACTTAAAGCTTATTTTTAATGCTATTATCTTAACCCCTATTGTACCGTTTAGAATTCCCAATGAACTTCGCTGACGTCACTTTCTTGCCACTAACTGATACCACGTGCTGACTCACGCGTGACGAGACGATCGCCAAATTCTCGCTCTCGCACGCTGTCGATAGTATACTATGGGAAGCTTTCTGTGTTTACTTGTTAAATATATATCAAACTTACATGTGTGGAACAAATATTTAATTTGCTTTTCTTGACTCTAAGTTTATATCTGCAGTTATGTAAAGTCCATTCTAAATATATTTAACTGCTGTTTTTATATATGCATTTTCGATATATTATAAAGCTGTTATATAAACTTTATTCTAAAAATATTTATCGGCTGTTATACAAAATGTATTTTAAAAATATTTTAATATTTATTGAAAGAAGACAAGTTTACGAAAAATAGATCAGAATTTTGTTATATTTTCTATATTAATAAAGATATAAATATATTTTATTAAAATAGTAAAAATTAAGGTTTTCTAAAATTCACAAATTTGTAAGTTTTTATATAAATTTTTCCTAAAAATACAATAGTTTTTATGTTAATGTAATGTAATGTAATGCATTTTTAACTTTTCATAGAATCTGTCTGGAAATATTTAACTACGATAGGTAGGAAGACCATATTAGAGAGTTTTAAATATATACATTTTTACAGAAAAATTCTTAGAAATTCCCCATTGTATTCTGGCGGCGCGACTTATATTTCCCGATTCTCCCCGCACTGAGAACGGAGAGAGCAGAAAATAATTACAAACGATCCGTCGTGGCAAAGCGTTCACATTTTTTGAATAAAATAAAATAAAGTAGAATTGAGAGCGCCAATCGGCAGTCGGCAGCGGGAGCAAGGCGATCGCGCACAACAAATAGAGAAAAATTAATTAAATTGTTTCGAAATAGAAATATCGGAAAAAGAAGCGCTAACTAACAAACAAGCACGCGGCAAATCGGAATCGGAAAAAACGGGTCGAACAACAAAATCAAAACAAAAACCAAATTAAAATCAGATATTAATAGTACATAAAACACCAACAACAAAAGGTTCGGTTAACAAAAGTGAATAAATGCAGATATTTGCTTATATAGCAATGGCAACAATGTTGCACAAAAAATCTTTGCATACTTCCCAAGTTATTTGCAGGAAATTCTTTGAATTTAATTGTGGTTTTAGTGATTTTAAATAATAAAAAAATAAAACTTAAAAATTCAAATGAAACGATCCCAGCAAAATGGCTTCAAGTAATTTGGAAAATGTGGCACAAAAATGCAAAACTAAACAATTTCGAGTGTGCAAATATTTACAGAATTGGTCCCCAAAAAAACAACAACAAAAAATCAGACTATGAAATCTAAATACACAGACAAGGACACTAAACTAAACGCATCGAATCGATCTTTTTTTTTAATTTTTGCACTCGATGCTCACTGAATCGGGCGGGAATGTCGCTTTCTTGTTTATTTTGCAGCATAAACAATTAAGGCTTCAATTACTAAAAGGGTCGGCAAAACAGAAAAACAAAGAACAAGTGGCTGATAAAGCAAAATTAAAGATTGCTCTGCCATATTTTTCTCAGATTTATCCAAGATTTCATCATCATAAAAAACAGAGTTCAAAATGGGAGTTGAAGAAGAGTTCTACCGCAAATATTTCATAAATACTCTTCAAGATTTCATCATCAACGAAAGCATTAATTAACAATGAAGTTCAAGACGATTTCTATGGAAAATATTTCTTCAATAAATCAAGCAAGTTCAATGAACTTCAACCCTGTTGTAACATAAAAATTTTGTCTATTTAATCAAAAAAACTGATAAATTTAAAGGCCACATTTTATTGTATATTGTCTAGTCTGGTCTCTGGTGGAATAAAAAAGAGTGTATTTTTAAACATAATTTTTATCACCACACTCTACACCGGGCATTGATAATAAAAATTGTCTGCGTGTGTTTTGTATAAGCCAAAAAGTCTGACAGACATATCTAAAGTGGTAAGCAGGTCATGATTATTTTTATATATAGTTTTTCCATGCCATCCCTGGTTTCTTGTTTTAAATACATATAAATAGCATCAATATGTATTTATAAAATTCCCCTAAATACTATATATAGTTTCCTTTGTCTTCCTTTCTAAAATATAACCTTAGTGTATACAAAACGAGCTTAGTTTTATGTGAGTTTCTATGTACACATATATTTTCAGTGTGCTATCTAAGGTAATTATATCAATCATTGGATTGATAATGAATGGGATTTTGTTTTTACTGAAAATCAAAAAGGAAATGGAGTGATATAATATTGAATAATTGATATTAATTGTAATTTACAAAAAATTATCATTAATTCTGATAAATTCTGATAGATAGATAAAATAAAAAAACCACGGGGGTTTTTGATGTACTTTATTTTATAGATAAAACATTAGCATCAAGAATTCATACATATATAAGATATATTTATATATATCAAGGCCCGGAATAGAGCAATTATATGCAATAAAAAATACATACCTATCTAAGATAGAATAATATAATAATATAAAAGGCCATGCAAATTTTATTTATTTTATTTTATTACTCTGTTTTGTTACTTATACAAATGCTACACAAAAGAAAACTAGAGAATTAATAAAAATATTTGTAAACAAAAATAAACCTGCAAGGATTGTATAAAATCCTAAATAACCTAGGTAATACAGTTTATCATGAAACTCTTAGAAACGACTTAATTTTAATTTTAAACGGTATCATAAGTAACGATATTTCAGCAAAAAAAGACCAAAACAAATAAAGACTTGAAAATGATAAAAAAAAACATCTTAGAATTATGACATACTCCTCTCTCTGGCATACATTTTAAAGTATACTTTTTTTCTTTATCTTTTCCCCAAATATTACCTTAAGTTCTTTTGTCTTGCCCGGAAAAAAGACTTGGGAATTACAAGAATATTTTCTATTGTAAAATAAGATCCCAGCATATCACGTATTCGATACTATTCCCTTAATCTCTCATCTATGTCATTGTTTTTATTTTGAGCGGCATTTATAGGTGGACAGCAGGCGTGGTGGTGGTGCCACCAGCCACCACCCACCGCCCACCGCCTACCCACCCACCGAACACCGACAGCCCAACTTTCGACGATTGGCAGTCGTCCACACGTTGCCAACTATTAGAACAATTGAAACAACAACAAATAAAAAGAGGAAAAAAAGTGTGTGTGGGAGTGTATCTGGGTGGCACTGAAAAAGTATCTTGTTAGCTGCGCTGATACAATTGTAAATGCTGAGATTTAAATTCAGTTTTTACTCTTTTATTCTCGATTTTTGTTTTTGTTTCTATATGATTTCCTTCCTCCTCCCCCTCCGTTGCGTATGGGTATTATCGAGGAAATTTGCACACTAACTGATTGTGAGAGCGAGGGATATCTCCAGGAACAATCACAAACACAGCAGAAAATTTGCAAAAAAAAAACAAAAATAACAAAGCCCGAAAAATATCTAAAATAACAAACAAGGGAATTTCATGGAAGCAATATCCGGCTGAGGGAAGGGTTTTTTGAGGGGTGTGTGTATCCTGTGTGTGTGTGTTTGCCCAGACAGAAGTGCAACAAAATTTCTGCAATTGCATTTGGCCAAAATCAAAGCTGGTCCAGATTCAAAAAAGTGAAAAGCTTGCAAGTTCGCTTGGCTGCCCTTTCTCTCTTTTCAATCTGATTAGATATTGATATGTTTAGGTATCGAAATGTGTTCAAATGGGGGGCAAAAATCATTTAAATAGTCATTAGACTGGAAAATCATTTTAGGAGTTAGACCAAAACAAGGTTAATTTGGTAAATTTCGTAAAGAGTTTATACTTAAATAAGTTAGAATGAAATTTTGTATGATATTTAAGGGCTATATTGCAATCCCCATACCTTAATTTAATTAATATAGACATTTTTCTATTAAATATTATATTTTATTATTGTTTGAAAAGATAATTTAAATGATAAAGGTTTTTAAATATCATCAGTAGATGACAAATTGAATTAAGTAAAAAAATCTTATTATTATTTGTATAAAAATCTGGATATAAATATTTATATATAAATTTCAACTCAAGTTTCATGGATCTTCGGTTTTTTTTTTTCAAAGAACCTTCGTTATGATTACTTTGATATGAAAACTGTTTAAGTAAGCAACATTTAAGATGTATTTAAAATAAAAACAAAAAGCAATGAGCTTCATCAGCAAATTCTTTGACCATGTAACCTTAAATCCACTTGACAAAATTGTAATTAAATCATTAAAATAATGAGTAAGCAGTTTAAACAGGTATTTTTTATTATACAAAATATTACACTGTTGACAGGTGTTTAGCAAAAGGTGTCATTGGTAGTAATTTAATGTGTAACAACTTCAGAAAGATGACTTTTGTGATGATTAAGTGAATGCAGTACTTTTAAATTAAATTAAATTACAATTGATTTTCTAGCTGAAAAGCTGATAAGTGAACTGTTAATAAATTTCAAACTCCTATTTATCTTTTCCAGCTTCTCTGAAGGCTGTCAATGCACCAAAAAGACAACTAAAAAAATAAATAAAATCAATAAGAAATGGCTGACATGGAGGAGGTGCCAGGTAAGGCTGCCAGTCGCTTGGGAATGCGACACTTGCAGGCGGCTTTGCTCTTCGTTGGACTGGCGGCCAACACAATCCTTCAGCTGAATGTGGGCGTGGCAGTGGTGGCCATGACCAATGACACATCCTCGACAACGACGACAACAACGACGACTTCCAGTGAAGATGGCGACACGCCCGTGGGTAAGCGAAATGGCAGCCTCCGGCACCCTGACTCACTTGGCCTTTTCCCTTTTCCTATGATTTCTATAGCATTACAACTGGACGGAAGTGGAGAAGTCCTACATCCTGTCCAGCTACTACTGGGGCTCTGCTCTGGCCCAGTTTCCCGCTGGATATCTTTGCAAGCGCTTTGGCTCTAAGGCTGTGCTCTTCTGGGGAACTCTGGGATCATCGCTGCTGAGTGCTCTGACGCCCCATGGAGTCTATGCCGCTGGCTGGAAGGCTTTCTGTGGCATCCGATTGTTGCAGGGTCTGTGCCAGGTGACCTGGCCATGCATCCACCAGCATCTGGCCAATTGGTGTCCCACAAAGGAGCGAACGCGGCTAGGAGCCTTTGCCTATACAGGTTTCGATTGTGGCAATGTTTTGGCCATGTTTGGAACGGGCATGATAGCAGGATCCTCTTTGGGATGGCCTGGTATCAGTTACTCGGCGGCAGGACTTGGGCTAGTATGGTGCCTGCTCTGGTTACTATTGGGCGCCAATAAGGCCACCGAAGCCAGGTGCATTAGCGAGGCGGAGAAGGCCTACATTGTGGGTGATCTGCAGCGAGAGGAGCGCAAGGATCCGCCAAAGAAAATGGAGATCCCGTGGAAGGGTATCTTCACCTCGGTGCCTGTGCTGGCCCTGCTCTGTGCCAGGTGTGCGGATACCTGGGGACTGGCCACCATGCAGGCGGAGTTGCCAACATATTTGAGCGGTGTCCTGCACCTGGACATGAGGAGTAATGCATTATACTCGGCTCTGCCCTTCCTGCTCATGTGGTTTATGTGCTATGTGTATTTGATCATAGCTGATGTACTGCTACGTAAAAACTGGCTTAGTTTGACGGCATTAAGGAAAACCTACACGAGTGTGGCCTTGTGGGCACCGGCCGCTATCCTGCTATCTCTGGCTTTTGTGGGCGAGGGTCAGAAGACCTTGGTCCTGGTCCTTGTAACCCTCAGTGTGGGTGTGAGTAGTGCTGCTACCATTGGCAGTGAATTAAACACCATGGATCTGTCACCGAATCATGCTGGCATCTTGGCCGGAATCCTTACCAGCTTCACCAATCTGGTGGCTCTGCTAACACCGCTAATTGTCGGTGTCCTGGTCACAGACTCCACCCAGCGTAGCCAGTGGCAGGTGGTCTTCATTCTTGTGGCCGGAGGTCTCTTTGCCGGGAATGTGATCTTCCTGATTTGGGGAACAGCTGAGACACAACCCTGGAATGAATCCAAGGCGGCGAGAAGGAAACTGAAGGCGGAAGAGAAGCTTTTCCAGCATACAAAACTAGAGTTTGCTTCGGAAAATTCGGATGGCAATGGTGTAGCTTTAAAATTGAATTGTAAAAATCCCTGAGATGTAGATTTAATTATTCATTTTTATTTTGTTAAATGGAAGGAGACTGCTAAGAACAAATTATTGCGATATATTTTTGTACTATAAATACAATCTCAACCATAAAGAAAATGTGTGTGTTTTTTGGAAAGCTACTTAAGGGAGAAGAAGCTTGATATTTGATTTTAACATATATATGTTTACCGGAAACAAAAAGGATTTTTAACAGTTAAATTACCAATCTACTAATCTAAATAAAACCATCCTAAAATATATATAAAATACAAAAATGAAAATCTTCCCTTTAGGTAGTAACCCAATTTATTGTTGATTTACAAGACCATCAATAATTCATCTGCAAATAGTTGCAGCTTGATGCAAATTGCAAAATGTCAATTTCCCCAAGCCTTTTCCTGCTGCCAATTGCTAAAAACATAATTTACGACCAACTTGGGCTTGGGTAAATTCAAGCAAAACCAAACACAGATATAAATTCTTCTAGGACATGGCTTAGGACTCTCTTCTCCATCGCCTTTTTCTTCGGCTATATATATTTATATATATATATATATATATATATATAAACACACCTGTGCTCTAGCATGGACACTGAGCTGGAGTCCTGCATAAGGAAGACATTAAAACATTGTAACTACAAAACAAGGAATCGCATAAATAAATAACAACAGCTGCTCACTTTCCGCCGCTTGCCGCTTGCCGCTTGCCGTTGCATATTTATAGGCGCATAAAATATTGTCGTTTATTTTTAATTTAATGACAAGAAATTTGTGCCCACCATCAGCCTCCCTTCATCCTCATTTCATCCTGGTAATGGCCCATAGCAACTGCAATCTATCTTCCTGCTCCGAGAGCATCTCCTTCCCATTTACGACAAAGCAAAACAATTACAACAACAGATATCACATGAACCGAGAAACGATAATCAGCAGGGGGAGGGGGAGGGGGAGGTAGATACTACCAAAAACCCTGGGGGGGAGGGGGAGTGGGGGCGGCTAGAGTGGACCACAGGCGCCGCTTTGGTCAGCGAGCCATCTGTCAGTGGTTGAAATTTGTAGAGGTGAGTGGGGAGCAGTGGCACTGCGAAAAAATACTAGTACTAGTTAAGGGAAGGTTGGAAAAATTATAAGAAAAATGGATAGATTTTGTTTTTTAGTTGGAAGATATTTAAAAGAAATATAAAGCGTATTTTAAACATTGAGAAAAACATTGAGTATTGTTTAAAATCATGCAAATAGTTGGAACAAAATCAGGATAATGTATTAGTTAATGTTATACCCTTTTTGGGTACTATACTTTTAGTAAAAAGCCTCTAACGCTATGAAGGAATCATTTCCGATCCTATAAATCACATATAATCCTAATCATCATCAACAGCCGAATCGATCTAGCCATCTCAGGCAGAGAAATAAAATTTGACAAATTTTTCCAAAATTTTATAAGGGGTTATATCGTTAAAATTGTATAAAAAAATTTTAATTTTAAATAGAGTATGCAGAATTATTAACCTTACAAAAACTAGCATAGGAGCGATTTTTGAATTAAAATTAATGATTTTTTCGCTAAGTTATGAGTTTTTTAAACTTTGATTTATCAAAAATTGTCATTTAAAAATATCAATAAATATTGATTAAAAGAATATAAATATTTAAATTAAATTTAATATATATTAATTATATACTAATATTTAAATTATTATATTTTATATTTATATTAAATATTTAATATGATTATATATATATTCATATTTGTTTTGCAAATATTTCCCAATAAAAAACCCTTATAATATTTCCCTCACTGTAACTTCTGTTTAGTGCGCTCCGGCACGTTGATATAACATTTCGCTTCGTTACGTTACATTTTATTTTATTTACAATACGCACGCAGTTTACTTGTTTCATTTTTTTTTCCAACCATTCCATACCATTTCATTCCATTGCTACCTCCCCGCCGCCCCCTCACACCATCCTCGTCACACTCCTGTTTCGCCGCGTTATGTATACGCCGTGTTGGCCATCAGCGAGGAGCATCATTTCGGTCATTATTTGGTTACGTGCGCTAAATGAGACGCAACCGAGACACGCCCCATCCGCCACATTTGAATTACGTGCGTGAAGATTACGTTATTTATAACTGACCCCGTCCCCCGTCCCTCCTTTCCACTTCTCTCACCTTGTTTCCTGCATATGTTGCTTCCTTTTCAGCGCCAAATTAAATGTTACGCTTAAAAGTTAGCACCTGATGGAAGGAGCAGAGGAAACAAGAAGAAGGCTAATGATGCTGGCTGGCTGACTGGCTGACTGGCTGGGAAAATGCATTTTCCGCCGAACCACCTGCAGCTTTCCATCCCCCCACCTCGCTACACCTTTGCCTCCTCCAGCTTCTTAGGCTGGTTTAAGTGCCTGACGCATGGCCTTAATTAAAAGCAACTCCCAGAGCCAGCCAGCAAGGGCAATGCACTTGAAGAAAATGTATCTTATAGAAAAATATGTTGCATTTGGAAATATTAAATATTAACTTTCCAAAATTAGAAAGAGTTTATTAAGCTTTCAACTTAATCCCTTAAGTTAAATGGAATTAATGAATACTTTAAGTTTCTTGTGATTATTATGAACTGTTTGATTTATATTGGGAGTTTTCTTAGCGTGTAACTACGTGTGTGCTTGGGTGTGTTTATAAAAAATCAACTTTAACTGCAAGTCAAACTCGCAAACGCAACACAAACTGAGAAACTTTTTTGGCAACTTCCCCCTCACAGCTCCCTCTTTCGTCCCTGAAAATGTTGTTGCACGTTGGCAACTTTTTTTTTAGGCACCTGGACGCGTGTCTGCCGAGCGTGGCAGCTTCTAATTAATGTTCTCCATCCCCGAAAAAGTTTTTAGCTGAAGCCCTGCAACTCGAATTTAAAAACAATTTCCCCAGAAATATTATAAAGAATTATAAGACTTAAGAATACCAAGCAAAATACATGAAATATTTTAAATATTCTAATTTAAATATTAATAACAGCTTGTAGAGAATAAAATTTTTAGATGCCAAAAATATATATAAATAAAATAAAATAGCCTCTTGAATAAGCTCAAAAATTAATTAAAATTAATCTGTGAAAAAGATCTAAAATAAACCCTGAAATAAATGCATTTTTAAGCAGCTTCAAACACAAGTGAATAAATAAAAGAATTCATCAATAAAGAGGACAATTTTAAACTTTGATCTTCTTACAAAAATAAACTTCATATTTCACTGTTAAAAGCCACCGAAGTGAAATTCCATTGGAGTCCACACCACTCCAACAATATTCTCTTTTGAAAATTCCAGAGTATGAAAAAAGAATGTGTGTGAGGCCAAGAGCAATTCACTCAGATTCATTCACCGAATCGTTTTCTATATTAAGTTAAAAATTTTCATTTGCTGCATGTGCTTTAATTGCTCCCGAATGCTCCTCTCTCTCTCTGTGTCCATGCCACTGTTTCAGTCAGCCAAGTGTTGCAAACTTTTAAATTAAATCCTTGTAATGCTTTTTGGACAAATGGTTTTTAGTCTCCCCAACCATGGACATGGACACGGACATGGACATGGCCTTCTTGGCTTCTCTGGGGTAAAGTTGTCATTGACTTGAAGACTCAAACGGAAATGGGCAGCTTGAAAAACTTGCAAATTGAATCCTAATTGTTTTAACATTTTTGTCATTGGCAAATTGCCTTGATTAGCACATGAGTCGCCCCCAAAAACTTGATGTAATTTCATTAAAGTCTACAGATTTTCGTTCATCAAAAACAGTTCCGGAGAACCTTAATGGCTGTGTGAAAATAGTTTGTTGGCCAAGGCGATAAATAGTTCAAGTTTTCTATTAGGGCCAACACTTCGAAGGAAGTGAAAAGGGTTTAGAAAGGGAAGTTAATACATTTGTATAATTGTTTTAAAGTTAAACCATTTAAAGAGAAGGTGATTTAAAACAATCTTGTTCTTTAAACTATTTATGAAATACAAATTAAAACTCTAAGGAAAGAGTATAATATTCTAAGCCAAAAATGAATGAATTTGTTATTTTTTAAGACTTCCCTTTTATAAAAAAAACACCTCCTCAAACTATCACTTCACTTTATTATTTTTCTTAGAAAATAAACATCAATAAGTTTTCTTATTTTTCCCCTAGAATACCAATTACTATTGCTTCCTTGGATTCGTGAAACATTATATTCCACACTATAAATATTAAACCTAATTGTGCATTATCATGTTTGCATTTTTATAAAATGTTCCCTCTGGCAAAAACTTCTTACTCTTAATAGCATTTTTATCCAATTTATTTTAATGGCAAATAGGGCCAGAAATTCTTACAATACATTAAGGTTTGTATATATTTTTTTTCCTAGAAAACTCTGAGTATTTGGTTCCCCTTTTGTTGCCATAACTGAATATTTTATATCATTTGCTTGTGGCATGTGGCAGTTGTCAATTGCCAGTATTGTTAGAGCGTCACTTCATCCAACAGAAAAAACGCGAAGAAAATAATGTTGAAAATAAATAAGTAACGCAACCGTGGCTGGGTAGGACAATGCCAGCCTGCCAGGAGCCGGAAATCCAGCCACATACGATATGACAGGATGTTCCAGGGTAGGAGGAGTCCTGATATCCCGCCAGGAGCAAAGGGGTTACTCTTGTACAAGGATTTAACGCACGACAACATCAACAATGAATGTAATTCAATATGCAAATGGGCTGCAGCAATTTTCTACTTTTTCATACACTTTTTCCCTGCACATTTTGCAGTCGGGTTGAGTGTGAGTGAGAGACAGTTTTCCATTTTCCAGCAGCAGCAGCAGCATCCTGCCTGCTGATTATGATGCCGTTGTGTTTTGCATCCATTTTGTGAAATGCAATCGCAAATATTCTGCCGCTAACCAAAATAGAAATTGATTCGCTAAGGCCTGCATTGTCTGTCGATAGGTGTACCGATTACAGATAGAGAAACAATTGGGGAATATATTTAAGGTTTCTTGCGGCTTTTATTATTTTTAGGTTATTTATAATTGATTAATTAGTTCTATACAGTAGCTAGGGATAGACAATACTATAGGTAACTATGATATAAAAAAATAATCAATAATATTTAGCAATTTGACATATTTTTGATTATTTATTATTAAGAATAATCACGTATCACACATTTATCATTAATAAAGGTACGATAAAAGATCGATTTATAACATATGTATATCGACATTCAGTACTGTATTGAAATATCGATATTTTCTTATTCTCCCTTATTATAACTTACAATTTATAACCTTATATTTTATATCATATCTTGCATTAATAGTAAGTAATATTTATAGAATTACTACTTACTATTAATGCAAGATATGTCATGATTTTCTCCAGAAAATGTATATTTATTCTAAAAATATACAATTTTTTAAGGATATTACAAAGTTTAACAAATATTTAATAATAAATTATCAAAATCCCATTCAATTTTTAAACAAAAATACCCATTTCCTAGCAATAAGTACCCATTTCTCTCCATGTCTGTTGCCTGACAAGCAAGCATCAACCTATCACTGGACACATGGCCTAATAATGTTGCCGTGCCAAGGTTGGACAAGATGACAGCCCACGGATTCACCTGTGACCCAATCGGGTTTGCGTTTGGCTCAAATGCATCTGGCATTGGCATCGTGAATCGTGTAGTAATTAATTAGACTCGCAGGCATTTTATATGAACAAAGTGCAATGCCGTTTCACTAATTGAACATGAACATGGCCACTGCCAGTGCTGATGATGATGATGGTGATGATGGTGATGATGGTGATGATGATGTGGATGTGCCACTAGCATCATACCCTTACCTCTTGCCACCCACCAACTCCATTCACCAGAGTCGTCGACAATGATGACGTCTAAGTGTAGGCTGCAAGTACTCGAAATCTACAGAACATTCATCTGCATTCAAAGTGGAGAATGGGTTTTGCCGTGGGCGGACTCTGCCTTTGGGCCAAGAGATCTTATACCAATCAGGGTGGTCACTCCACACCTCCTAGAGTGTGTGTGGTGTGCAGTGTGTGTGGTTTGCAGTCCAGGAGCTGCCTTGCCAAATGCATTCTGCACGAATATTTCCCCAAATTAAATAAGCACAAATCAAATACTTTACAAATACTGTCACTGCTTAGGCAACTGTCTGAGTACTCCTATAAATGCCAACATACTGGGAAAATAAATAATTTATATGAACGAATTAAAGAAAAAGTTAAAGATAAAATTTGTTTAAATGGCAGAGAGGCGAGCCTTTCATGGAGGATAGCGATAAACAATCTTTCCCCCTTCTTTTTTTCAAAACAAACAAATTTAAAGAGGTAAACAATTTGGTATTATTTTTATCCAAATGGAACCCTTTGTTGATGTTATTATTATTGGAAGAAATTGAATGCTCCTTTTGTAGATTCAATTGGAGCTCTGTTTATCAGGTAATTCGATCAAAAGTTGATCGCAAGTAAACAATCCTCTCATTGTTCGTTTATAAATTTAAAAATTATATAGACTATTTATATGCCAGCTGATCGAATTTCATGTTTTTTTTTTTCGAAAAAGCAGTAGCCATATGTCGGCGTCTCTTTGTGAATGGAATATATTTCATTCTAGTAACTTTTTAAAATAATTGGACTAGAGGCTACTGATCAATTTAAAGAAGGTTAATCAGATTGTTCTTTGGTATCTGAATCTAAAGACGTATTTTTTCTGTAACCAAATAGGAAATCTAATTAGCATTTACCAATTACATAACCCACTCGGCGTTGCCATATTTAAAAAAATTGTCTCTAATAAAGTCTGTACCTTTTTTTTTAATTGGTTTTATCTCCTGCTCATTATTTAGAATCAAAGGAATCTAGATCGTAATTAATCCCTTTCTAATTAAAATTCCCTACAGACCGCATAGTTTTCCAACACTAACTCTAAAATAGAGCAATGGCTCCCTGGTATATCCGATTAATCGATTACAAAACAAAAAGTTATGGTCGCTCACACATACATGTGTATAATCGGCTTATTGCTCAAATGTTTTTTAATAGTTATTGTTCTTGGGACGAAACACATGATTACTTTAAAATTCTTTTAAATACCAGTGCAAGTACTACAAGTAAGTACAAAGAACAAATCTACTGAATTAGAAATAAGAACTCTTTTAGAGGAAAACCTTTGCTGAAAATGCAGTGTGATGTGTGTTTTTCTTTTGTTGTGTCTGTGAGTGTGGCACACAGATTGGCCAAAGTGTTGTGGCATGTTTCTGGGAAAGGCCCTTCTTCAGACATTGATTTATGTGGTTTCGTTTTTCGGTTAGTCATCCCGATGATGTGAACATGTGCAAGTTCCTCCCGACAGAGTTTATTATTGGTGTTGCACTCGGTGGTTTTGGTTTATTGGCAACAATAAAAAACAAAAATCAATTTGATAGTGTGTGTGCTTCTGACTGTGTGTGTGTGGCGGCGACAGGTCCTATGGATGAGCTAAAGGCGATTATGGTTTTTCGGCGGATTAAACATTAATGCCGCATGCTGGCGATTCAGTTTCTGCACTTCCAGTTTATTTACTTCACATATCTCAACAAACAAACATTTTAAAAAAGTAAACAATTTCTTATTATTGATATCCGGCAATGGGGGAAATCTCTTCTTTTATTTGCAGCTTGAGGGATTTGAGATCGCTTTGAAATGATGAGTGCTTCAGTTGATTGCGAGTTGATTGAGAGCATGGAAGGCATGGAAGTTAAGGAAGCTAATACGGGTAAGTTTTTCTTTGATATCGGAAAACAACAATATAGTTCAATCCAATTGGTTTAAGTGGATCATTATTCTTATTGGTATTGACAGAGGCCTTGCCACACAGTTAAAAATCAAAGCAGGTGAACTTTTAAAACTTTGGTTTAAAGAAAATTTAGTTTACAAAATTTTTAAACTTCATATCAATAATTTAGAACTCTGAAGAATGGTACAAAATAGCGCAAGTAACTTTTGAATATATTTAATTAATGTATTTAACTAAAAAATAAAAACAAGAATTCATAATTTCAGAAAACCAAAGTTAATATAGTTGTTGTAGTAGTTTTCAATTGAATTATAGAATAGAATTGTAAATCGATCATAACAAAACTAAAAATATTCCCATTTTTCCAATCAATGTTTATCTATATTTTAATATGACAATTTTTTCGAAATATCTAAGTTAAAAAAACTCATAACTAAGCCAAAAATGCATTAATTTTTAATCGGAAAGCGCTTCTATGCTAGTTCTAATTAGGTTTATAATTATACATACTCCATTTAAAATTTAAAAAAATTTATAATATTGGTAATTTTTTTTGACAATTTGAACGATGTAACCCCTTATAAAATTTAGAAAAAAATTGTACATTTCAATTTTTCTCCCGGAAATGGCTAGATCGATTTGGCTTTTGACGCTGATCGAGAATATATATGATTTATAGGGTCGGAAATGACTCCTTCACATCGTTTTAAGCTTTTGAATAAAATTATTTAAAATTAAAATTAAAATTATTTATTGCAATAACCTTTTTGAATCTGGAATATAAATTTGTCCAATTATTGGGACATTTACTAATCTGTTGAAATGCCATTTTAAATAATAATTAAAAAACACCTTTTCCCAGATTAAAGTAAACTCTAAAATTGTATCTTTAATTTCGTGCTAGTACGATCCAGTTTAAGCCTCTATCTGGTATCTGGCTAATTAGCCAAGAGCGTGGCGGTTGGCTAGTCTATGGCAAAAATTATGACAAATTAAAAACGGCAGCGAGGGGCTATAACAAAGCCCGTCAGGTGGGGCAGCTATTCCGCACCCCCGCTGCCCCGCATCCCCTGCAAATCCACTCAATCCCCAACACTGCCGCGAAAAACACTTTGTAATTACCCCGAACACTGCAATAACAAAAGGCGGCCAAATGGCGGCCAGGCCAAAAGGGTGACGAGACAAAGGCGGCTGCTGAGCCTCCCCAGACTCCATCCTTCATTCCATTCCCCATCATCATCATCATCATCAGGAGCAGTGGCAGAGGAGCACACAAGAGGAGGCAGTCACGGTCGTTTGTGGCTCATTGGTTTGCGTCCAGCCTGGGTTATTTTTCATGCCCATACCCCCCCATCCCTTTGGCCACGGTCCACATAAATTAACCGAAACGTATTAATTCTTTTACTCCTCCATCCTTTTCCGCATCCCTTTTTATATGCGTGCAAAAATTTATGCTTGAATTAAATATGATGACCGAAAAAAAAAAAACGAAAAGTAGGAGTCGCACAAGGGCGCAAGGACACCCGGCAGTGGCATTGTGCTTATTTACACATGTACGACACGGCGTATACGCATTGTAATGTACGACAGCCGGCCACAATTAATCTTGCCACGTGTTTTATGCGAAAAAAAGAGGCACGAAGAGGCAGCGAAAAGAAAACTTTGCCACCGAAGTGGACCATCATGCTGCGGCTGGGTTATAATTGAATTTTCATAACCATTAACCGACGTCGACTTGGTCATTATTTAAATGTAACGACGCTTTATTATTACCCCGGTAATCGAAAGCAAATGATTGCGACTTTATAAATATAAATCAAATTAGAAGAAGCCACTGACACTGCCACTGCCACGGCCAGCACATGTTGCATGGCCATTTGGCCAATGTGTGGCCCGGAAAAAGCTAGGAGCAACCACAAAAAAGCAACCAACATAGCCACAGTCACAACATTAAAATGCCGGCATTTATATAACCCAAACAAAGGAGTCCACTAAAAAGACATTTTTGGCCATTTTAGCCCATGGACCGGACCGGACAAGGACATTTTAAAAGCGTTCCATCAGGACAAAACAGATTTATGAGTGCGTCGCTGGGTGGTTTAAGTGCATCTTAAGGAGCGTGTACTTAGAGCCATAAAAACTTGGAAATTATATTCAAATGAAGTGAACAAGCCAGCAGGCAGAGCAAACTCACCAAATAAGCAATCGGGAAATGTTTGTCTTTAACGGCTGAAAAGAAATTAAGGGAAATTTGGTGATTAAATTGAGTTGAAATGGCTTAATAAATATGAAATAAATTGAGTTTATTAAACGGTTTGCTTTTGTTTATAAGATATTAAAGTTAAATGGGGAAATTCGAACGAAAAGAATGTAGATTTTGCTTAAAAATGTAGTCAGAAATAGAATCTTTTAACTTAATTTAAACAGTATATAAAATATATTTAAGAAAACAACTAAACTATGTATATTTGAATAAGAATGTTCTGAGAAACAATGTAAGTCTATTAATATTTACTCTTTACTTAAAAAGTAAATTATTTAAGCAAGCTTCACACATTCAAAAAACAATATTTCTATACGTTTTTATTATTTAAAATGTACAAAGGTAGTCAAAAGTATTTACACTTCGGCCAAAGTTAATGTTTCATAGAAAAGTGCTATAAGTAAAAGAATAGATGCACCTACATTGTAATATTTACATATAATTTGTTTTCGTCTTAATTTTAATGCTATAAAAATTAAATCATTTTTTTTGTGACAATCTCATAAGTTACTTTATTAACAGTAAACAAAATTTGCTTAGGTATCGATGTAGGCTTTCAATTGGTTGAAATTAAGTTTATTAAGCTATATCCAAAATAAATAGACATATTTTCTTTTGCTTTTAATATTGTCCTATGAACCGTTATCTTTTGTTTTCGTTTTCTGTTTGTTTCTGAATAGATCAATTTATGCCATAAAAAAAATTCATGGAAATCGGTCAATAAAAACAAGAATAATAACAAAAATAAGTTTGTGAAAATAATTGAGAATTTGTGTAAATACTTTTGCCTACTTCTGTATAATTCTTTAATATGTTTATAGCTTTAATCTAGAATCTTTACCTTGATGTTTTCCCCAATCTCCTAATCTCTCTATAAACACTTTGATTGATTGATTTGATTTGATTGATAATGGTATTATTCACTCCTTTTTTCTAGACTCCTTTAACGATGGAGACCTAGTGTTTGCAAAGGCGATAGGATACATTTCATGGCCGGGAATAATAGTTGAGAAGCAAAGTCTTCATAGTATAGTTAACTTTCTGGGATCTGACGACACTCGCAAGATTGAAAACATAAAAATATGGCCATACAGCGAAAGAAATAAGGGTAAATTCATAACTGCCGTGAATTTGGAATATGAGGAATTCCGGGATGCGATTGTCATTGCAGAAAAACTAAGCTTCAGGCTTGATCCCAATAAAGAAAACGGTGCCTATTTCTATCGAGTATTGAGCCAAAGCGATCTACAGGAGCTGCAGGAGCAAGATAAAGAGAGGCAGGAGGAAACCAGACCGAAGGAAGCTAGGAAGGAAGCTAGCAAGGACGTAACCGGGGAGGAAGAACTCGACAAGGACGAAGCCGGCAAGGAGGCCACCGGCATTAAAGGACCCGTCGAGGAGAAACCCCATAAGGAGCAACCCATCCAGGAGGCAGAAAACCTTAAGGAGGAGATGATTGAGTACGTGAGAGTGCTGCGAAGTGATCACAAATCTCTGGATGGTGGCATAGAAAACAAATTTATCACGCTGGTGAATTTACTGCGCCGGAGCTTAAAGACTAACCAGATGGATTACCCTTCCGCCGTGTTTGCCCTGCAGGAGCTTCATGGAATGGAATTCAGTGAACTCCTTCTAGTGCGAAACTTTGAGGCTGTGAACTCTATCTACCATGTATGCTACCTCGACACTGCCCATCAGAATTACAAGGAGGCGGTCCAGGTGCAGCTTATGGCCAAACAATTAATTTTTCGCTTTGCACCATTGATTAGACTGTCGGATTCTGTGCAAAACTTTATGGATCAGTTTCGATCGCTTTCGTCAATCTATAGACGATTCATTAGTGAATTTGAACCAGTACAACAACAGTCCAGCGAGGAGGAGTCTTGTCTGGCTGCTGTGCCTGTAACGGAAGCGGAAAAGGAAGCTTGGTTCGAGGAGGAATCCGTCCGGGAAGCAATGTTCCTATCCGATCAAGATTTCTTGACACTAGCCGTAGATAAAAGATTCGACGAATTAATTGATATTTTGCGTCGCAGCGTATCATTCCGTCGAAAGGACTATCCTTCCGCTTTATTAGCATTCGATGAGCTGCTTTCTTTCACATTTACCAAGCAATTTTTAATGCCGAAGTATAAAGCCGTGTATTTTGTTTACTATCTATCCAGATCTGGCAGCGTCCTGCCTTGGAATAGCCTTGCTAAGGCCACCCTGGTGAGGAGTTTGGCCAACCAACTAATGGTTCGCTTCTTCTCGGTGTTCAATTTGCCAGGTATCACCGGGTACGATTTTATGGTCCACTATTGTTCGCTTTACGCCTCCGATAGCTCCGAAGCTGAATCGGATACCTAGCAAGGAAGCTAAATTGGAGATCTTTACAAAATTCACAGGAATTCTAGAAGCAGATGCAGTAGCACTGATATCAGCCTTATATTTTATATAGTTATAAGGAATGGTAAGCTAATAATTAATGATAAGGAATGCTGAATAATGAAAAAGACCGAAAAGAACTGAAAGTTTATGCCAACAGAAACCAAATTCCCTTATTTTTTGTAACTGAATCTCTGTACTTATTCCAGTTTTCATAGACTATCAAAAAGTACATATATTGTATATAGTTGTAAGGAATGCAAATAAATAATTTATAATAAAGGAATGCTGAATAATTAAGAATACTGAAAAGAACTGCAGTTAATTAAAACAAAAACAATATTGCCTTATTTTTTTCTAACTGAATCTCTGTGTTTATTTCAATAAAACCCCCATATATGGGCATCAAAAAGGACAACAAATCAGATCCTAGCATCAATGGAAGTATGACAAATATGTGTGCGGTCAGCCAGAGTCAGTCTTTATAGAGGAGGGTCGAGTATCGAAAAAAAAGGACAGGGGTGAAGGCTGTGGCAGCGCTTCGGGGTGAGCTAAACAATCGATCAAAAAGTGAGACAAATCGTCGTGTCTTTTCGGTTGGCAGCAAACAAAAGCCAAATGTGTTCACACCTTGACAGCCTGACACACCCTCATCCCACACCCACACACACACACCTCACCTGCCTCAGCCCCTGAATTCCCTCAGCTTTTTGGAGGCGGTCAAGCAAACAACATTTCACTTTTTGTGGTGCTGCCAAAAAGGTAGCAGCAAAAGGCAAATTCAATTTGAGCTGTCAAAAATCTGACCAATATTGCCTTTGAGTGTCCGTGGTCCCCCGCCTCAGATCCCGTGTGTCTGTGAATGTGTGAGTGTGGGGCGGGGGGCGTATGGGGGCGTGTCCTGCGGTCGGTCACACAATAAATCGATTGAAAACGTAAATGAAATTGACAGTCAGCATTCCAGGTGTGCGATCCAGGACCAGCAGCCACGTATCCGTCTCCAAACTCCGTGTTAAATACCTTGACACTCGTCCGCCGTTTGAAGTTTTTTTACACGGTGAGAAAAAATAGTATCTGTGATTCTTTGGGAAATAAGGAATATATTTTATAATGAATGTGGATTCTAGGAGATATCCCTGAAAGTGTGTTTTGAAATAATGGTGCTACTTTAACTTAAGGTTTTAAAAAGATTTAAATTTATCGTATAATTCAAAGGTTTTTGTAAAACATTTAAAATTGAAAGAATTACTTTTACTCGGAAAATGTTGCATAGGATAGAAAAAATATGGAAACCTATCTAACAAACTCCCTTAAAAATTAATTATTTATATATCAATCAAGCACATAATTATTGATAGTTCTATAAGAGTTTTGAAATAAAAAATTGACTTTGTTTTTGAAATCTAGAATGAGAATGTTAAATAAAGAATATTTTCTCACTTTTCCTTACAACATTAATATCTTTTTTAAGTTTTAATAATCAAAATCTATTCAAATAATCTTTTTCCTATAGAATTTCCCTCAAATTCCACGCATTTGATTTCCCCCAGTGCTCAATACCAACTCCTGTAGCACTTGTCTGCGTTTCCTTGAGGGAAAGGGAAGCCTAAGTAAGGCATCAAATTAATTTGACATTTGCTTTGTCACTGTCAGCTCAACGCCCGGATTTGCAGACGGCGGGTTAACAGCACATTCCGGGGGTTAAGGGTCACTCCAAGACCCAGGACCCAGAGTTGGAGCTGGAGACGGAGTCAAAGCCAATGACCATGGCCCCATGAACCCAACAACAATTGATGATGATATATGGCTCTGGACTTTGATTGGAAATGTTGGCTCACACACGCACACTCGCACGCTAATGCAGATCAAACAGGCCAAAGTGTTTGGCTTATTGACACTCGACGGGAGGTCCTGGAGGTCCTGCAGGTCCTGTTCTCATGCACACCACCAAACCATAGTCCTTAACTACTACTCCTCTTAAGTGCTCTTTGCTTTTAAGAAAATTAGCAAACCTAAATTATTATTTTTAATTCACAAAAACATCGTTAAATGGTCTTCGTGGAGATTGACATGAGTAAACAGAAGCTAAGGGAAGCACCGACCCCCGAAATGTGTGCCATCAAAATAATAATAATGTTATTTTTTAATTTACCTAAAATGTCCTGCATACACACACACAGCTCTACAAGCCGCATACAATGAAAGCAATGTATATTTTTATATTAATATGGCTAAAAGGAAAACAAAAACAAGTCCTGGGGTACGAATAAGGGAAGCCGAAGCTAGCACAGGTGAGGCGCATGTTGGCCAGGTATGAACTTCAAAATGTGTCCTTCAAAACAGTGGTTTGAAAATGAATTTGTTTAGGCATACAAAATGTGCAGCCAGACTTCAAGAATTTATAATTTAAATAAGTAATCTTTATAAAAATTATTTTAATTATTTATACCTTTAATACAAAACATATTAAAAAAATGGAAAAAGGTTTTTAAAGGCTTCAAAGATTAAATCACCATTAAAAACAATTAAATAAAATTTACCTTTAAAGCTTTTTCGCATTTAAAAGCCAAAAAAAAAAAAAACAAAGTAAGTTGTGGGCTTAACAAGTTATTAGCATTATTAAATACAAAGAATCATGTAAAATCATATTTATGGTTTTATATTTTCGTATTCTAGGGAGAAATTTATATTTATTTATGATTTATTTTTTATCAGACGACAATTAACTATTACACCAAAAATAAACAGCTTTATTTATCTGCCAGCAAAGCAATTAATCATTTATTTGTTCAAGTTCAATTATCATGCGAGTGCGCTTTAAAGTTTATATTAATGTAAACAAAATAAACTTGCGGTTGTTAATACCTGTTGTGTTTTTATTTTTTCGTTCCCTGTTTCGATAATTGCCAACATATTTTTTGCCATTATATAATTTTAATTTGATCATTTGAAATAAATATTTTTTCTCTCGCCTTTAATCTTGTAATTAATGGTTTGTATTTTTTTTCTGTGATCAATAAATGCTTTATGTTGGCACCACTGTTTTTTTTTTTTTTTTGCGAAAGCTATTATGTCATAAGTACTGCTACTTAGTGGCGGATTTTGTTTTCATAGTGTTCCGCCCCCGCCATCGCTTTTTTATATTTATTTTCCTTCTGTTTTTTTTTTGAGCCGTTTGAAGTCCTTTGACGTTGGCGTGTCCTGGTAATTGTCTACTTAGCGATGGCTTGTCAACACACCGTTGTGGGTCACTAATTTCACTGAATCGCGCGCATCATTTAATGAATTGATATCCGCATAAAGGACCTGGCCCAGCTTCAAACGGAGATCCCGATTGCGGCGGCTCTCCTTTTGTGATGTGATGTAATTTATGTGCCGGCGCCAGATGTTTATCGCGATATCGGAATAAAGCCAGGTCAGCACCTGACCGAGCTTATCGCGATGCAGTGTGTTAATGTTTGACCCCTGCCCCTGCCCCTGCCCCCGCCTGGAACCTTTCTGATAAGCCAAACAACCTCAGCAACCCCGGCAGCGTTGATTTATTTCACTTCTCTCTTCGCTTTTTAAAGGACTTTTTTTTGTAAGTGTGTGTGTGTTGTTTTTTAATGCTGCGAGTCACAAAAAATTTTGCTGACTTTCATGGACAGGCCGTAAAAGCATGTTGGTTGTAAAAATTCTTAAAAAACCGGACAGCATATTTGCACTTTATTTTATTTGATTTTTTTTCAGTTACTTTTTTAATACTAATTAAAAAATGTTTATACATTTTTCAAAAAGTTAGAGGCAGAGGTACCGCAAAGCAATTTGCAGAAACAACCGAAAAACTAAAAACACATGTGGCACACACACACACACACACATCTACACACAATTTATTTGTGGATGGCGAAGAGGGGTATACAAAGATTTTTGTTGACAGAACTTTACAATAAAACGAAAGTTTAATGCACAAGTTCTTCTACGGGTTTTGGCCAACATGCCCCCATAACCATTTCGGTGCACAGAAAAAAAAAATATATTACAGAAAATGGTGTGTAATTGTTGGATTTTATTATCTATTGAAAAGAAAGGAAACTTCGAAAATCTATTAAAAACTATTAGAGGCTAGAATTTATTTGGGAAGTACCTTGAAAATGAAATAGAACATATTTTAGTGTATTTAAAGCTAACTTGATACTTTTCCCTTGCAATCAAAAATAATGAATTAATAGTTTGAGGTTTTTTTAGTTTCAAAAACTATTATTAATTAATTTATATACATTTTTCTTCAGTGTGGATGAGGTTGAACCACAGAGAACTGCACGAAGCCAGGCCGAGGTGAGCCGGCGGTCTGTTTGCGCAACTTACAGCCAAAGTAAACTCATTACCAATGCAAACAAACAGTGCTGGGCGCCCCCGAAAACTTAACAAAAAACAAAATATACATATACATAGTATATACATATATATTCCCGTATAAAAAAATATATACAACTGACAGTGAAACTATTTGCGGGAAAATGTTACGCAACGCAAATGAAAAGAAAAATCGTTAAAAAGTGTGTGTGTTAAAAAATAATTAAGTGCTTGGCACATTTCTTCCTGCTGGCATGTGTACGGCACATCAAGTATACGCCGCGTTGCCCATTCCATTCGCTTTTGTCCCGAAAAACAAATTGTTTGTGTTGCATAATTTTGAGCGCTGGCGCATATTCGAGATGCCTTCTATTGGACACGCCGCCTCGCTTATTGATTCCAAATTCCATGTCAAAACCATGGAAGCGCCGGATCCTAACCGCAGGATACAAATATGTGCTCATTGTTTGGCCTGCGGCTGCCGCGGTGTCTTTATTGATCAAATTGCTTTATTGGTGTATTAATTTTAATTGGTCGACATGTCCATGTGTTGCCCAGTCACTATTAATTAACATGCAGTTCTCGTTCCTCCGCCACTCTTCCCCCCTCGGTATGTTGTACATCGAGTTACATTAATTATTTAATTTATTGTAATTTTTACTTATTTGCTTAACTGCAGTTGAACCGAAAGTTTATTTGTTGTTGCTGTTGCCTGTTGGCCCCAAAGTGCCAGTAAAAGTTAAAAGCATATTTAAATAATAACATACACTAGGGAGAGATGCAGATAAGTTTGATTCAGTTGAATATGTGGTTGATTTAGGAGTTTTGAATATATTTTCAGAGTTTTTGGGAGAAGTAAGAGTGACAATAAGGAAGTTGAAATTTGAAAATTGGGGATACAATTATAAGGAGAT